TAGAAAGTTTGGATCATTTGAGTGCAACCCATTGAAATTTTTGCCAAGTTGTTTTTAAAATTTAGTAGCCTCCCAAAAGACCCTTGGTACCAAACCAACGTGCTTATGTGCTCCTGCCATGGCTCTGGGTTCAAAGGGAGCTTTCATTCACCCTTCTAAAAATGAGTAGTTTAGATGAGGGGGGGAGTGCAGGTTTCCTTCAGTCCTCTAAAATTGCGCATGCTGGTGCGTTCATGCACACGCACATACGTGCACTCAGAGCGGATTTTTCAGTGTCTCCTTTTAAAAGAGTATCAGCCTCATCTCAAACCAGCTTCAGGCCTGACCAAAAGAAACTGGCATCAAAAAAGACCATCAAACCAACGTGGCCCTGGCTGGTGGATGCGGCAGAAAATGCTCTTGCCAGACATATGATTGCAGACTTGGTCCAGCCCCAGCGCAAGTGGATTGGACAAGTCCTGGATGAGCATGTCACCGCTGTACTTTTTTATTTGCATAAAACAATTACCCCATGGACAGTAGCTTCGGAGTTGTCTAGACAACATGCTTTCGATGGTATCGCTGACCTCAGACACACTGGGCTAGCTCTAAATTAGCAATGAGCAGGGCTGGAGGGATGTATTATGGTAGTTATAAACCATAAGAAGGTATTTAAATAGATAGATAAGACACATGCAAATCTTTTCATTGCCATGGCAACCATCTTGATATAGGTTTTCCATATGTAGCAAGAAGGGCAGAGCAAAAGACACTGGAAAAATAGCAAGAACCTGTAATGATAATGAACCCTGACAGTGTATTAGTCTAGATTTTGGTCACTTATTAACTCTTAATAGAATACAAACTTCTATAGTAATACAGTGTTCAGTGGGTCAGGGAGCAATTACTTCTAAACCTTTGCTATAAGGATCTCTGCTATATGGCTATACCTAATGTACCAATTCTTCACAAATTGATCTGACTGATTAAAAAACACTTTGCTATTAGATGTAAATTGCTTAGCTGCTCAAAAGTGCTTTGCAGGGACGGGTTGCACAAAGCATGAAAATATGTCATTTATGGACATCTCTCTATTTCCCTCCTGGTTTTATTGGCCAGGCGAGGAATCTCGTAAATCTGAAGTTGCAGACAGTTGTCACATAATAACTGGGACCGCCAATTTCAAGAGGGAAATGCATTGCAACCCCCCAACACCTGTGCATCCCCTCCATGCGCTACCTATCTAAGCAGACCAGAACTATGTATTTATTCTTTTTTCCTCTTCCTTCTTGCAGTTCTTCATTCCTTCTAAGTGCCAAACCAGTAGTTTGAAGGCCATCTCATGGGTCTAATGATGCCTCCTGTGACCAGTGAGGCTCCCCTCCAGCAGTCTTTCTGAGATATATGGGCAGGATGAAAGCAGCTGCTGGAGCTCAGACCGGGAGGCATCTTGTCCAACCTGTCTGCATCCGCTGTGCTTGTCCCCACTCAGTCCGAAGATCTTGGGGCATGGGTGGCCCAGGTGGAAAGGACACAGGCATGCTACCCCACTTTACACAGTTTTTTCCGCAGATCAGATGCATCAGTTGTGACTGGGGTCTTTGGAAATGAGTTCTGGTTAACCTTGCAGGGCTTTTTTTGTTGGTTTTTTTGGTTTTTCTTTTTTCTTCTAACTTGATGGCAGTAAGGATGCAGTTGCAGTCACCAAGCCTGTTGCAAACTAATTCCTTATCACTGCCACTTGCTGTACCTGTAATGGATGGTTTTGGTGTGTAAGGCTGTTTGGAGGTAGATGGCCCACACCATGCTTTTGCATTGCCCCGTTTCCTTCCACCCTGGCAGGTGGTGGGGTACCCCCCTTCCCAGCCCAGCTCTGGGCTCCAGGGCGGGACTGAACCTGCCACAGCTTCCATGCCGCCTCCTGTCACGTCCATCCACTGCCTCCTTTCCATCGCACTTCACATAAAAGCCTTGTCCTCCTTGTCAGAGCCCTTCCTAAAATGCTGTCCTATTATTTATGCTTTCAGAAAATGATTTTGCCAGCACCATCAGGCTTTTACTGTATGGCTCCCCAGAACACCTGTGACAAGCCTCCTCCTTCAAACTCCTTTTGGGCAGTGACTCCTCCAAGCCCTCAAAGATGGCGAGGCAGGTAGGGTGCTACAACATCTGCTTGTTATTTGAACTGCAGCCATTTTTCTATTGCTTTGTGTTGCGCCTCTCTGCCCAATTTGTAAGGTAGACGGGAAGCACAATTTGGGCAGGCACCGTCCTGTCCTCCTGCAATGTGCAGCGCCGAGCACAGCACCTCTGACCAAAACCCTGCGGGTGATACTGCAGTGCGGAGAATAATTAAAAAGCTGTGCTCATTTCCCACATGAGATACACTCCTGTAGTGTGTAAATCAGTCACAGTCCTGGAGGAATAATCCAGGCGGGATAATTGTGCAGGGGAAAGGCCCCAGGCGTGATAGGGGTTTGCATTAGCAATGCCTTTTCATCCATCTGTCTTTTGACCAGAGCTAGAGAGGGCCAGAATTTGACTTATAAGGATGTTTTGATCAACTGATTATTTCAGTGACAGAGCTCCTGAAGTACACACAGACATAAAATACCTTATTTGTGTACAGGCACAGCCAGGAGCCAGGGACTGAAAGGTTTTTTTCTTCAAAGATTAATCTGTTTAGGATCTACCAGTTCCCTTATAATCCTGGAGAATGCGACCATCAGCTTGACTGGGGAAAATACTTCACCTTGAGTGTTTATCCGCTGAATACAGTGGAAGCAGAAACAGGCCAAAGAAGAATCTGGCTCAGAGCAGGCATTTATTTATATATACACACACATATATATATATAATTTCTTGGTATACTATTGTTATTTATTAATTATGCTAAAGAGGAGCTGAAGAGCCCTGCTCACGGTCAGAGCTTGATTGTGCTGTTCAAGTGCCCTGTCCTGTGCTTGTCCCATGCCAAGTGCCTGTTGAAGGAGCCCTGTCTGACACCTCCAACAGGTATCCCACTTTTTGGTGTCCTTAGGGGAAGGTTAAAGGTCCTGAAGATGGCTAGTACCAAAAAGCATCCATAGAATGAATGCAAGGGCAAGTGTATTCATCCTGTAGTGAACTGCTTTTTACAAGACACGTGTAACGTATGTGTTACTTACAACAATGACACTGTTAAAAAGTGTCTTCCAAAGTTTAAGAAAAGGCACTTTGGTGCTGTGGAGGACAAAGAGTCCTATGACAGACTCCACCTATGTATTTTTTTTTTTTAGATCATCTAAACTTTATTGAAGACTAACCACAGAACTGAAAATTGTTGGTATTAACACTCTAGGGCATCCTGTGTACTGAAGTCTCAATTTCTTATCCTGAATACGTGTTCTGGCTGACAAATTTTGGGGTGTTATTTTGCCTTCTAGATATTCAGATGTTCTTTTGACACCTGGGAATTTAATTAACAGCTTTTGCATGTATTTAAAGCAAAGTAAACTTTCTTCGAGCCTCCTGATGGTGAGGAGCAATTTTATTTATGAACACTGGCACCTGTCATGTTAATTTGTACAAAGTTTTTGATTTATCCTAAAAGAACACATTACACAGTGGATTTGGAGGAGTTAAAGGGAATCTGCAGGGTGACTTTAATCTTTATGTCTTTATATACTTGAGGGCATTTTACTGCACCTCTGCACTGCTTTCACTACACAATCATTTTCTGCTTTAGAAATGTAGCCATTTGGATCAATAGTTACAGTACAATATATTGTACTTCTGATGGGAGCCTCACAGGACAGTTAAGAAGCACCGCGGTAATTTTGCAAAACGCTTGGCTACACTCTGAAATATATTTTAAAAGTAAAGTTGGCAAAACATCCACGGCGCAAAATTTACAAGAGCCCTAATGAAATTGTACTTACTCTACTTACTTTTATTAAAACTAAATTAGGAAAAATGGGATGTAAAGGGATGTTCCCTGCTTGAAACATGGGTATTTTAATAGGAAGCTGTAAGTATTAAGGACTAGGCTATCTGCCTTTCTGTGAATTTGTTGTAGCAGCAGTTTTAAACTCCTGTGGAACAGCATTGGCTTGTTTGGAGGGATTTTAGAAGGCAAAGATTTCTAGCTAATGTGATAAGAGTGCGTTTCCTGGGCTTGATTTAAAAGTAAGTAAAAAAAAAAAGAATGTTTGGAGACATTTTCTCAGTACACAGAACAAAAAATTAAAAAAGGATCTAAAAATATATGTCCCTTAAAGCGTTAACAAACGTATCCTGTGCGTTGCGGATTTTACAGTAAATTCTTTATCTATAAACAAACCGGGTTATCACAGCTGTTTATTGTACTGCTAGCCCTGATCCTAACCTTTATGTCTTTATTGCTTACATACCATTCCCTTGTTTATACGTCTGTACCAGCCTGTGCCCTTGAACTTGGCCCCCACGAGCCCTGACCCGGCGCGCTCGCTCACTCACGCGGGTCACGTCGGCAATCAGTAAATGGGAGAGGGGGCTGGCGGGCGGCCGACGGGCAATTAACACACCGCCAAAGCCTCACTGGCCACCGGGGCTGCCGGAGGGGCAGACCACCAGCCACGGTCCTTGGAGCTGAAGCTGCAGCACCCTGGCCAGGCTGTGGGTTACAGTGGGGAGAAAAAGAAAGAGCGAGGAAGGGGAGGAGGAGGAAAGGGCAGACAGGATCCCCTTTGAAAGCTTGTTTCTGCCTCGGTGTGGGATGCCAGCTGGATAGCTCACCAGTGCCCAGCAAAACTGCCTGGAAAGCGGTGCTGGGGGCTGCACTAGGAGGGAGCCAATGTTTCCCCACTGCAAAACCATCAGTTCCCCTCCCCTTTCAGCTGCCTGGCTAGGGCCTTGGCAGCATGCATAAGAAATGAAAGGAGAGCAGTGTATTCTTCTGCGCCTTTTTTTTTTTTTTTTCCTCTCCTCTGGCTGATAAGCTGACAGCCAGGCATGCCTTGTTCTGATAACTCAGCAAAGTTTCGTTTTCGTACGGACAAACAGCCCGTGCCCTCCAGCATCCTCGCCAGCAAGGCTTGAAGGGCACGACAGAGCGGCCAGCACAAGAATAAGCAGGGACAGGGACATGGCTGGGAAGATCTGCCTTCAGATCGATGATAAACTTCAATCGTAAGCCAAAAAGTACTTCACAACCCCCCTGATGTCCCACATGGTGGACTTCAGTGCATAAAGGATTTTGGCTCAACCCAGTGGGCTGCGTCAGAGTGTTTGCCACCAGGAGTGCGGTTGGAGCATGCTGTGGCATGAGCCCAGGAGATGGTCTCTGCGAAACGTGGGCTGCACCAAACGCACCGGGGCAAATGGTGTCAGCATGTACAGTGAGCCTTCCTCACCCCTCCTCAGGGAAATCGCACCAGTTTTGGTTTCAGTTCGTTGAACAGGATCTTTGCTAAAAACAAACCTCCTGGAGAAAACATCTCCAGGTCTGAATCAAATCCTCCATTTGCTGCTAAAAATACTGTCAATGAATGGAAGAATTCATGAATTCTCCCAGGGAAAAGAAAAGATGATCCCATTAACCTACATTACAGCCATCACCATTAAGGAGATACCATTATCCTGCAGTTCCCACACTGTCTTGTCGGAGATGCTACAGTTATCCCTATAATTGTGTAGTAAGTCCTGGCAAATGTTGGCTTTTCAACAGGCAGTACTGCAGCCAAGTACTTTGTCCGTTTATAAGGCCCGATCCGTTTAGCCTTGCATAAGCATTTGGCTCTTCAGGCAAAAGCCACGCTCAAACCATGCTTTGGATGAGAGCTCCAGAAGAGGATTGAGTCCCCCGCCATCTCAAATTATAGGATTTTACTGCCTTACAAGGTCACGAGCAGTCATAATCGATCAATACAGAGAATGATGCAAGTATCAAGAATTTTAACGACATAATATCGTGTTGTAGAAGTTGTTGTTTCACTTTCTAAAGGAACATGTATGCTTTCAGTGGCTGTTCTTCCCACATTTATTGATACTCAGCCACCAAAGTGAGAGTGCTAATGAGTGACAATATTTGGTAAGTTTAACTGAATACTACTAGTTGGAGAATTGGAATGTTATTGTTTAATATAAAGTATATATATATTTACATATGCACGGGCAATATTCTGTTCTCTTAATATATTCTGTTTACGCATTTAGGCTCTGATTAAAAGCATTCTGGTAAGTTTACTGATCAAATTCTCATATATTCAGCAGCATGAATTTTCCTCAGCTTTTTACTTTGCCCTGTCCTTCTATCTACCAGCCCAAGATTTTGTTTGGTTTTATTCTTGTGGGTTTTGGGGGTTTAGTTTTTTTTCCTCAGAGGAAGGAACTGCAGAGAAGTCAGTGTGGTTTTGTAGTAAAGGTGCTGGAATGGTCCTCAGGACTCATAACGTGAGTTATGACCATAAGCTAATAATTCAATCCTTATGCCTCAGTTTCCCAGCTGTAAGGTAGTGACAATAAATTACTCTCATGAGTAATGTGAAGATATATTTGGTATTTGCCTTGCTGTTCTCAGGTTGGAAAAGGATAGTTTCATAGAAAGGTGTTGTTGGAAACAGGCTGCTGGGAACCCAAAAATCTCACATAGTCTTAATTGTGGTGGCAGGTGCCTGGGGGAAGAAACTCTCCCTTTCCTTCCACACCAGCTCAAAAGGCAGTTGAAAAGCTCCTGATAACATCACCAAAGCAAAAGGACTTAGGAAGCTTCAGGTCTGAAAGCCAGCAGGACAGCACAAGGACAAGACCTTACAACCTTGGCCTCCATTGGCATGCTTTAAAAAAAGGCAATAAATATCATTTCTGACTAAGTATGCTTCCTACAGTGCAGCTAAGTGTCCTTCCCAGTTGCATAAGGGTTAACGGAGCCCTAAGAATGCAGTTGATATATTATCATAGCCCTAATGTAGTCATCAAAGAGTACCAGGCAAACAGTATCTATTTAAAAATGTGCGGTTTTCATACACTTACAGGGGAGATTTTAGTCTTTTTTTTTCCCCTACCCTTGCAGGTTGTCTCTTTTTTTTAAAAGTTACTTCTCTGAAACATTCTCAAATCTAAAATTAAGAAAATTTGTATGTTAAAGGCTACAGTAAAACAGAACCTTTGTTCAAAGGTTTAAAAAGACAAGTAATAAGATGTATATTTATGTAACAAGGAGTCAGATTTATGAAAAATGCTGTTGTGGCTTGTAATTTCAGATGAAATCGTCCAGTCTCAGGGTAAGAAGCGACAGATGCTGACATGTAGTGATGTGCAAACTCCCCTGTCTGAGCTGAGTATATTTCTAACTTTGCTCTAATTATCAATCACTTGATTCATGTCAGACCACTCACATTTAAATCAAGTTTTTCTGCTATTTAGACAGGTACTCTGTAAACACAGGGAGAAGAGGTGGTTTCTGGAATGAACAGGAATGGCTGCCTGAGTCCATGTTCTGTATGAAAAAATTAAAAGCAAGAGTCTTTCATGCTAAATTTGTATGGCCCTCTGCAAAAATTGCCCGATTTGTTTAAGTATTTTCTGGTGGCAAGATGTTTTGGGACATGGAGGTTGATAAAATGCATTAAATAAAACACTGCAAGTCAAATTTAAGTATAAAATGAAATTCTTTCTGTGTTGGGTTTGATGTTCTTAATTTAATCCCTGGTGGACAGTAGTCTGCATTACAAAACCTTCACACATAATTTGGCACAGTTTGGATGATTTGCAATCTCTCCTTTGCTCTCTCTGCAGAGGCTGCCCTGAGCAGATCCTGCGTGGAGGCTCAGTGACCTCTCCTCTCTCAGGAGGGTGGTCTCTTCAGGTCACTGTTCAGGTCATTTCTACAGCAGAGTAAGGAAGCTTTGACTGTTTCTTCGCTTGTGTGGGTAAACAGAGGACTTCAATTTCCAGCACTACTGGTCCCTAACCTTCAGAAGCCAAGCAGTCACTGAGGGGGATGGGGAAGAGATGTCAAAAGAAAGTGCAGAGCAAAGAATGTAAAGAATTTTGCTTATCTGTGACAAGTTTCTAAGCGTGTTTGATTATGGTAATAAGGATACCTCATTAACAAAGGATTTTGAAGGCATGTACACCATTGATAATCAGCCCTGGCCAAAGTACAGTGTACATTTTAAACTTTTTTTTTGGTTGGCTTTTTTTTTTTTTTCAACTGGATACATTTGAAATGTGGCAGCATTTTAGTGCAAATGTGGAATTTCACTTGATGCCCGAGGGTGGGGCCATGGCAGCTAAGGAAGGAGCTGCATCTACTGAAGATAAAGTCCCCATCGTTGGCAAGAAATGACTGTAAAACATGCGCAATTCCCAATCCTTAAAACTCTCCCTAATTGCAAATCTGCTCATTGTTTTAACTTATCTCTGCCAGTGCTGCGCTGAATTAGTCCTTTGGAGTCCCTGAACGGGATCAAGGGAAGAGAAGAGGAAAGGAAGGATGGGCATGAGAGCGAATGAGAAACAGAAGCAAGCAAGACAGCCAGAGAAAAGGAAGGGGGCGGGGAGGTGTTAAGCATAATTGCCCTTTGGCTTCCTATGAAATTGTAAAAGCTTTTGAACACCATTGCTGAACCAGCCAGGAGAATGTTTTCCGTATCCCTGCTGCATGGGAGGCGTCTGAGCCTGGTGCTGGGGGGAAAAGGGCAAGAAATGGTTCAGAAGG